GGGACCCCCCTTGGGTCCGCCCCTGCTAATATGAACAAAACAAAAATAATAACACGAAGCGCGTTTGGATAAAAAGAAAAAAGAAACAAAAAATTAAATAAAATAAAAATGGATAAGAACCCTAACTAACTAACTAACTAACAGAGAATGCTACCATTTTCTTATTGGATGATTCCGTTGTATTTTTTAAGCGTATATTATCTACACATTACTAGATTATCTGCGTCGGGAGGGTAGCATTTTATGAAATTGTCCAGAAACGAAGGTCCAAATAAAATGTTGCTAGAAGGCCACTGGAAGCTCAGTTCACTTCATTTCGATCCTCCAAACTTCCCCATATTGCAGAATAGTCCCCGAAAAAGTTACATTTTACTTCTTTGCTGTCCTACAGAACCAAAGCGCCCTCACCGATTTTCATGGCCGCCACCATCGTATCTCTCCATGCCCAGCCTATCTTCTCTAACCGGAGAACTGAGCTCCATTCTCCCTTCACCAATTCTGCCGCCGCACCCGCCGCCGCCCCGTTCCTCCGTCTCCGCCAAACCGCTCTTATCCTTCGCGTCGAGGTTAAATTTTCTCCCGGAGCAAAATACTGCTAATCCTCTCATCCCATAACGATAATTCGATCGGTAATTTTTTTTCTATATCCGCACAGGGAAGCCGATATCTGACATGCCGAGCTCGCGCTCGCGGTGGCATGGTAATGGGCGATTACGGCGATGACGAGGACGATGACGACGACGAGAGCGAAGATGAGGAAGGAGAAGACCGGAGCTTGGACCTTCTGATTAGGTTTGTGGAGAATGTGTTCAGAAAGGTGTCCAGAAAAGCACGCAGGGCCGTCAAATCTGTTCTGCCCGTCCCCATTTCAGCCAGATTGGTACAATCACTTGACCTAAACAAAATTACTTCTTTAGTCTTCCAATTATGTGTTATGATTTTGAGGCCAATTTGAATCTTAATTTGAGTAATTCCATTTCAAGTGCAGAAAAGTAAATTTTATTGGTGGTTTCAAGTAGTTGTAGCTGCAATTTGTGATCTTGATTAGGTCTACAAGTCAATAGGAATTGGATTTTTTATGCCGTGATGATTTTTTTACGGTTAACCTATCGTGTTCGTAATGATAATGAGTTGTGCCTTTCCCTCCCTTTTTTTATGCAGGTGGGATTTGCTGTGAATGGCACCATTATCTTGACTTTCATGTGGGTTCTTAGAGCTTTTCTTGAGGTAATAGCTGTCTCGTCTTCACCATGAGTTGTGAATGCATACATGATAATGCTAACGATACTGTGTTTTAGTTTGTCGTTTTTATGCTGATTGTTGTGGGATTTGTAAGTTCATTTAGTCACGACATGAAGAAACATTTGGTAGTACTACTGAAGCTAAAACTGTTCGTGAGTGGAGAGAAAACAGTTATTTTTATGCAGCTGGTTTCCATCTTAGCAAGTGCTTGCAGCTTATAACCATGAACTTCTTTCAATAATGAAAGAATCAATAAGCAAAGATAAAACTTGGGAAAAAAGAGGTAGAGAAATTGTTGATTCTAGTCCTTTAGCTGTCAGTTTATTGTTTCTAGTACCTTATACTTCATCTGGCAATGAAAATCAGGCAATGTAATGTATAGTTTGCATGTTATGCTACTGTTAGAGGTAGTTTACTGTGCTTTCCTAGAAAGTTTTGGAGATCCTTTTTCTTATCTGTGTGTGTGTGTTTGTGTGTGAGCTTTTAGGTAATTTGCACTCTGGGAAGTGTTGTGTTTGTGAGTATATTGCTCGTTCGGGGGATATGGACAGGAATTTCCTATTTCCAAGATGGCCGAGGTTATAGGGAAGATGACGATGAGCCCCAGTCGTGGACCTCAACCCGACCTGCAACCTAAAGCATATCTTTCTTTCTTCTTTTCTTTTTCTTTTTTCCTTTTTCAGATTTAACTTTGTGATCTACTTTCAGTTGATTCGATCAACACATACCCACATGGGTAGGTACGAATTAAACACAGTGCATATATATATACACACAGTTACAAGCACAATTTTGGTGAGTGTTTCTTGTAATATGACCAACATTTGGCGGAGCAGTGTGATTCGCTCGTGTTCATGAATAGTTGACTTGGCTGTGGTTGCGCGAACATCAGTTATCTCTGTCAATACACAGCCACAAAGCCATGTTTGAAAAAAACTAGTAGTATTTATGTATTCTTTGGATTCTCCTTTAATCTGATTATTGATGCTTGGTTAAACAAGTTTTCAGTTGAACTGTTACGAATAATGTGAGAATCTTAAAAGGCTTAAACGTAGAAAAACTAAATATGAAGACAGTATGTTTGCGATTTTTTTTCAAAAGGCGCGGAGGTGCGAAAGGCTCTGCTTTTCGGTCGGATTCAGTAAAGAGCTTTCGATTGCGATTTTCGTTTCGTTTTTATGTGAAAGTGGTCTTGAGATGGATTCTTTCTCTGTGCTGTGATTTGTAGTGGTTTTTTTTCCTGGCACATGGCCTTGAATTATGGCTATACTAACAGCAGGTTCTCAATTCTCATAGGCTGGTGAATTGTGTTAGGTGATTAGTATTTTGTTCTCTCTTCTAATATTATCTGTTGCAAGGGAACAAGAAACTTTAGAGTTTACTATTGAGAACCGAATTTTACGCCTTAAACTCCGGCCTTAAACTCCGGTCGCCCGGTACTTTCAAATGGCATCAACTTCATATGTAGAACTTTTTGAGAGGGCAATGAGATTAATCAATCAATTAATTTTCAATTAATAAAACTGTCAACCAAAACAGGAAAAAAGAAAAGAAAATAACCAAACCAAAACAAGGCTTTTATTCATTATCCACATAAGCAGACCTCAATGTGTCACAGCATTTGAGTTTTTGCAGCAAGGCTGATTTTGCACGCTCCCCTTTGTTCAGCAAATCCATATCCCATCTCAGGTTCCGAGCAAAATAATCGGAAACTCAGAATCTGAAATCGGTGTCGGTATTAAACCTCTCGACAACCCTTTTCGATCGCCTTCAAGGTTCTCTTCTCTTCATGGCTCAATCTTGGCTCATGCTCTAGGTGGATCACTTTTCCTTCCGTAATAGCCTCGACAGGCCACCTTAAATTCTTTTCCCTCCGATTTCCTCCTCTCGTTCCTCTTTATCCACCTCGAATCGTTTATAATTGTAAAGATAATTTCGATATATACAACTTATAATATTTTATGTGTATCTATGCATGTGCACATGCTTGATTACTAATGATATGGTAATGTAGATGAATCAAATAGGCTTAATATCCTGCATAAACAAAACCAAATAAAGATCAACAAAGGCAACAAGACCAAACAAAATACCACTCCCAATTTTTGCCATAAACCCTAATCCTCTTAACAAAATTACACACTTCCCCACCACTTTACTCAAGCCATCTACTGATAAGTATCGTAATGGTTGGAAATAATATTTGATGGTTGAAATAATTATTTACACTCAGTTTTGTACAAATTTAACTTTTTAGCCAAAACTTTTAAGATATAAATAAATTAAAATATTATGTTATTTTTTTAAACACATATTTAAAATATACAAAAAAAAAATAAAAAAAAATAAAAAATCAAGAACAGATGTAGATATGAAAGCAGAATAAAGAAAAAAATATTAAAGTTCCATTTATATCCAACTATAGAGCATAATTATCAAAACCCTTTGGCCAATCAATCCAAGTAAACTAATCTATCCATTCCAATCCAAGTAAACTAATCCAAACCAGATATCCTCATCAATCCCCTTTCCCCTTACCCCAATCCAACCCAATCAATCCAGCACAACCAGCTCTTCATACTCCTTGCCCGCAATCGCCTGATCCATAACAGCCTCGGGACTGATAATCCTACCTTCCTCCAAAAACACCTTCATCATATTCTTCGAATAACCACTCACAAGCGCCACTCCTGGCTGCCCCGCCGCCACCGGGGTCGCCGGAGAATTTCTCAGATTCCAAAACACAATCTCCGGCACACATTCCCCGTACCCTTTCTCCCCAAACTTCCTCATAATCGCCTCGTAATCAGTCTCCCACGTCGTGTTCATGGGAGTCTCAACAACCCTTGGCAACATATATGATGGTGGGCCCTTGTACCGTGCCTGATCAAACTCCATGTCACTAAACACCAAAAGCCGCTTGATCATCTGCTCCGGCTTGAGCTTTCCGGCCACTGCAACTTCAAGCAGCAAATCAAACACCTTCTGGAAATCAGTGTTCATACCCCACTCCATTCTCCTCACAAACTCAGTCTTTTCCGCCAAACTCGACCCCACCACATCTTGAATCTTGGGGTCCTTGCTGAATGTGATGAGCTTCCCCTTCCACGGCTCCTCGCTAAGCTCCGAAACCAAAACCCCAAGAGCCACTGAAACCTCCATCGGGACACCATCCATGCTCACCGACACATCGCAAATCGCTAGACAATTGCTCATCTTACCCTTCTTCGCCAGGTCATCCACCATTCTCCTCCACTGAAGCTCTGCCACCTGGCCGCCGTTGTCACCGTCTTCAAGTCCGGCGACTATCTCGTGCGGAAGCAGAGCTCCGGCGGCAATCTTGGCCTCACCCTTGTCAACCTTCTCAAGATACTCCCCAAACCTCTGCTCATCGTGCTCCACAAACACTTGCTTGTACATTTTCATGGCAACGGAGGATATCCTGTTGTAAGGGAGTGTACTCCACTGTTTCGCGCTCATGTAGACCTCCGGCAGCTCGAGGGCTTTACGAAGAGGGACAAGGACTTGCTTACGTAAACGGTCCCGGACACGATACGCGTAGTGGGCCTCCTCGACTAATTCGTATTCGGCATATTCAGACCTCGGGAAGACTTTCTTGGCAATGGGCTCACAAAGCAGAGTGATTTGGTCGTACGAGGAGTCGAGGGAGGGGCACCACTTGGCGGCAAGGCTGATTTTGTTCAATTGGCCGGAATTCAGCTTCTCCATGTCCGATCGCAGGCACAGGGCAAAGTAATCCGACACTCGCTCGTGGAGTAATCTGTAATCCGGGTCGTGGCTGAACTTCTCCAAGGCCTTCTTCGCCCGCTCAAGCCTCTTCTCCTCATTGCTTAATTTTGGCTGGTTCGAGTTGTTGCTCGACCGGTAGGATCTCCTCCCCTGGCCATAGGTCTTCTTCCTTATGCCGCCATAGCCTGGGGCCATCTGTTTGGGTTTTTTGGCCTCCCGTCGTTTGGCAAGCTCGCGGGCCCGGCGTGAGCCGCTCGATTTCCAACTCCGATAAGCCGCCTTAGCCTGTTCACGAGCGTCGGGGCCCTCAACGAGGCGGAAGAGGATCTCAAGGAGGTCCTTGAAGTAGCCGAACTTGGCTAGGGGGGCGACGTTGCAGGCGAGGGTCTTAGGGTGGTTCTCGTGAATCCACAGCGCCGCCGTGTACCCGCCCTCCCTGTCGGTCTTGCCGGTGCCGCGAACGCCACGGAGGTTGCAGACGAGCTTCAGGGCCTTCAGCGGGTCGTCCTCCCAGGCGAGCTTCAGGCGCTGGGCGAGGGCCTCCGGCGGCGTGTCGGGGACGACATGGAAGAAGAAGTCCAGGCACGGGTTTCCGGAGGAGAGGAAGGTCGGCGAAAAGTTCTCGGTGAAGCCCCTGGGTGGGCGGGGGGCCGGGGCCGCCGCCTTGTTGAAGTTAGCCACCATGAGGTCCATGAAAGGATTGCCCGAGGTGACGGAGGGGGCGACGGCGAGAGGGGCTGACTTCCGGTGGATCTCCGGCGGCCCGACGAGGGAAATTGCGGCGGCGGACGCCATCGCGAGCAAAGGAGGATTTTTGTTGATGGAGTTTCGGGAGAGAGAGAGATTGGGGACGAGTTGCAGAGAATGAGGGAATTGAGCCTTGGTGGGGCAATTATATAGTGCACGATTTGCTTGGTGGCCAAGGATGTTTTCCTAATTCTAATTTGTTTATAAATATTAAACTTGTATTTATTAAAAAATTATTAAGTTAATTAACATAGAATATCAGCTATCAATTCTATTAAAAAGTATTAATTTGGGTCACGTAAAACATCAAGAGAAAATTACCCTGTAGACAAACAGAACAAATAAATATTGCATCTATACGAATAAAATTATTTCTTTGCAAACATAACAAATCTGTCAAAAATAATTGCACTAATACAATATACACTTACAACCGTTTTTGTATAGATAATTATTAAAGAGGTA